CGGGAAGAAAAGGTTTCGTTTCTATTAAATTAATCGAAAGATACTTGTTTATCATTGCGTCTTTCATCAAAGCGCTTTATGCGCAGACATTTCTAGAAGAAATTTGCGATATTATGAAATAGGAGATCTAGATTGTTAACACAATCGTAGCTAAAGCTATTTATCATCGCCATTTAAAGAATTTTTAGCTGAAATGTAGAGTTGAACGTGCAGATCTTCTGCTGCATGCGTTGGCTTTCAAGACGAAATGTTTGAAAACTTTTTTGCTTTGTTATTATTAGAAATTAAAACATTCCTCCTTGAGAGGAATGTTCACTATCTTGAATTAATAGGCGGTCAAGTGGATCCAAAAATTTAATTCATGGATATGTTACCTCTCATCCAAGTAATCTTAATCGTAAAATACAAGCGAAAGGAAGGAAACAATCATTTTTTATGTTGGAAGAAGTCATTTTATTCGAAAACAAATTAGCCATTTTAGTTCAAGATTTTGAAAGAGAAACACTGATTTCTTTTCCACGTTTGATGAAACATCGCCAAAAAATAATTCGATAATTGACACTGTTTCAAAACAACTGTTTTAAATATGAGAAAAGCTTTTCTACGGAGGTTTCAGAAGTTTGGAAATAGCATAGTGAAGTGAAGCCTTTGTTTAAAAAAAAAAAAAAAAAAAAACTATCAGTGCTACGTAACATAATTGAATATTTCTTCCTTTAATACTGACTTTAGCGCTTTTGAAAGGCAGTGAAAGGCAGTTACTGGAGTTAAAAAAGAAAAATTTACGGAGCTTCAAATTAGAAAGGCCTTAATTCTCATATGGATAAATTGGTGAAACTTTAATGTGATCTTAATTCACAGCATAAATGGTCTGCTTTGGAAGACTTAGAGAAGGAAGATATAATAATATGTGTACTCATGCGAACAGTCTTTTTCAAGCATAAATCTTATCAAAAATAAATTGAGAAATCGCCTTATCGATAAGAACATAGAATCCTGCTTGAAATTAAAAACAGTGACATGTAATCCTGACAAATGCAATGCCATTGTTCAGATTAAATGCATATTTTCTCATATTTTTATTTTGATGTAACGTTTTTGGTCAGAAAAATAAAATAATTATTATTGAGATATCTGGTTTTATTTAATGTTAGTAGTTAGTTTAAATCGACTCAAATCAAGATCTTAAATTAAATATGATTCTTGAAAAGAAATTTGGCTCTTAAAAGAAATCTTAATCGTTGTAGAGAACGATACTAGCCAAAGATACTCAATGGTTATCTTTGGCTCTTTTGATGAATGAGTTTGCCAACCACTGGCCCACGATATAAAATGAAGTCTTGTTACATTACGCAAAGCCTTTTACAAGTGACATGTGAATTTGAATTTCTTTTTATGGACGATGCGCTTCCTACATCAAGCAGACCTGATGGATGAATTTCTTGAAGGCAATGGGTGAATCAATTGGCTAGCCAAATCTCTTAACTAGAACCTCACACAAGATAATTAAGGATACCACTGAAATAGCTACTGTGTAGAGACATTAAGTTTTTTTATGCTGAGAGACGTGAAAAATAAGCAATGCCCTCGCCGGAACTCGAACCACGGACCTCTCGAATACGCACCGAGCGTGCTGACCACTACACCACGAAGACACGCTAAGAAGGCGGGAGAAAAACCTTTTAACTGTACTGCGAAATTCTCTACTTAGATATATTACTCCCATGAAGATCATGTTCGCAGAACAATCGAATGTTCACTCCCAAAGTGAAATTAGCAACCTAAGTGTGAAGTTGCGTTGTGATGTAAGTGCATGAATTAGGTGAGATCATTTATTTCCCTGTCAACATAAAAACTCTAAATTTATTTCCTATTCTCTTTTTCTAAAATTTCTTTGTCTTCTGTTGCTCAATTCTATTTCTTTTAGATTTGATTTTCAGCCCGTATTTATCGATTTTATATTATGCACCAAGCCTGGCCAATAATTTATTCAATGTTATGTAGCAGGTTTTGAGAAATCAGTGCTTTTGTGCATCATCAATACTTTTACGTATTTTGGATACCAGTATACACTTTTTCCATCAATTCTGCCGTGGTATAGAAAACATAAGCTTAGAAACATATTAGCTAAAATTTGCTGCAATTTACCTATCCCTCTATTTGGGTGCAATAGCCACTTAAATTGCCTCGTGAAAAGTGAGTGTGTGTGTGTGGGGGGGGATGTTGAAAGCGCGCCTGTCGTTCGTTTCATAGGACTTAAACTTCTTAAACTCTTTTCTCAAAGGGACTTTCGTTTTCACAGATTTTAAGTGTCTCCCATGCAGCAAAGAAAGACCCTGTATAGTTACAAACTTCCCTAAGTTTTTCAGGATTCGAACCCGAATCTAATAATCTAATAAGAACCGACTTTATTAGCCATTATACCGCCGAGGATGGTAGTTAAAAATTACTTTATCATAGTATTTTCTAGGTCCCTTCTGAAATAGGGTCTTTAATTTGCAGTTCAACAAAGAGTATCTAAAATGAGATAATAAATAATTTGAAGTAAGAAAATAATATAACCTTTTTAGTATTGTAATTAACATACGATTTGCTTTTAATTATTACATTTGTAAGAATTATAACTATTACGCTAACATTCTTGTGACTTTTCGCTCATACTATCTGAACCCATAATCTTAAAATCTTAAACATTTGTTCTGTTTCTCAATGGGAAGGGGGGGAGGAACTCTTTTTTTCTTCTCTTTTGGCTCGAGGCATGGGAGGGGGAATGGCGATTTTATCAAGATCTGATAGTGAGCTGTTTAACTTCTGTCAAAAAACCCATCAATTTTTCCTCTTATGTCAAGGAATGCTTGCAAAACATTAGTTATGTAACAGATAAAAGATTATTATTTGATTTCCAAGGAAATTTGATTTCTCTTCACAACAGTGATAACAGTTCACACTCGTTTGCTCTGTTCACTTTTTTTTTTTTTTTTTTTTTTTTGTAAGTAGCTTACAGACAAAAAATACAATACTAAAGTAATATAAAAGCCACTTGCATTTTTTTTTTTTTTTTTCTTCGCTCCATCTGAAATTTATATTTAAATCCAGTTAGCAGTTTTTTAGTCAGAGTTTAAGTCTTCAAGTCTGTGGTAAATATAATTGTATTTGTTTAAAAATATTACACTTTTGCTTGACTTCAAACAGAAGTTATCGTTAGTAAGACTGGTATTTAAAGAAAATAAAGTATCTTACGAATTTTAGAACTGCGAATGCTAATACAGTGAATTTTCATTGCTAGTTATTGGAATTAAATTAAAAACTTCACTCAAGTTTGAGGGAATGCAAACTAGTCTTTTGCTCGATAAAAGAGAATGTTCTTCCGATCCAAAAACAACAGCAGTTAACCTTGTTGCAATTATTTAATATTCATAGTTTTCTAAATGTAATAAAAATTATAACACTTTATTACAAAACAGTAAGAATTATGAAAGCTCGAAAGTTTATCAGACCAAACCAAAATTTACAGCTTCAAGAAAACCATAAAAGAGCGGGAAAGTGGTGATTCTTTTCTTTGAATGACAAATCGCAATGTAGAATAATTAGGCTAATTTCAGATCAAGAAATATGAAAAATAAACGATGTCCTCGCTGTGATTTGAACTCAAGATCGTCCGATACCAGCGGGATGAACTTCCAATTACAACCCGAAGGCGCGCGTCAAGGAAGGAGAAAATTATTTACATTGTTACTAGTTAGTAACTGACTATTTACATTGACCTACTTAGTAACTGAGGGGGAGGGGAAGGACCCAAAGGCCTAATTCTGGAGGTACCGAATTATCATTTATCCTATTTGAAGTTCGGGGTCACTTGTAGATTCTGTTAAGCTTTTGAAATACAGAAATAGGAAAAATTAGCAGTGCCCTAGCTGGAATTCGAGCTCCGGACCTTCCGATTGCCAGCCGGACATGCTTTCAATTACACAACGAAGACACTCGGTAAAGGACGAGAAACTTCGTCACAACATGAGTATATCTTTAACGTAGTTTAATAATTTATATATACGTACACACACATACACATATACAAATAAATAAATAAATATGTATGCATAATGAATATTACATAAAGACAAGATACATTTAAAGAATGTACTATATACTAAACATCATTATTAACAATTTTCGTTATTTTAAAGTTTAAGAAATTGATAAATGCTTCTTACATAGCATGCATCATTTAATTCTAGAGAAACTCATTTATGACCTCATTATTTTAAATAGTCTTTACAAAAAATAAGTTACTTATTGCGGTAAAAAATTTCCCATTCGTAATTTTGCAGTCATTAAGAATGAATAGAAATTTTGCGATAGTATATTTCCATCACGTCTTTTGCGTGAAGGCTCGTTATTGCTATAATGAGATTAGATAATACTCGTAGACCGGTGATGAAATAGATTTTTGAAGAGCTTAACTTTCTGGAAGAGGCTTTCTGCCTTATTTTACATCATTTTTTATTATGAAATGAAACAAAAATTATAAATTATATTATTATTAATTAAAAAAAATAAAAGAGAAATTGTATCTTATAAAACAAAAGTGTTTTGTATAAATATGTTAAATTCAGACTGTTTAATTTTTTTCATATAAAACGATATGAAAAATGATAAATTTACCCAAGTTTTTAAATTTTCTTCCGTATATTTGTGTTACTTTCACGTTGAAAAATATACCTACAAATTTTTGCTTGCCTGTTAAAATTAGTTTTGTATGGATTCCATAACATTTATTGGATTCAGTTTCATTATTATTGTATCTATAATAAGAAATAGAATCCAATGAATTCACACGGACACTGCTATTAAAGGTCTCTGTGATACTGTGGGCCCTCAGCCTGTGATCCCACTCCTTTTCTCATAAAAGTGCAAAATCCTATTCGGAGGATCTTCATCTTTTTAACATGAAAGTTTCAGCAAGCAATTAATCTTCCAATGTAGTTATTACTTAAGAAACTTACCTTCTAAAGTTTGCTCATATCCCTTGGTAAAGAAAAGAAATGCTTTGGCCGCTCTTTCCGGTGTTTTCAGCAGTCCTTGCCTATTGGGATCCTCACGGATTCCAGTCAGGAGTTGCCTATAAACTCGGGTCAGTTCGAGCACTTGTTGAGGCTCCGGCTCCTCGGGAGCTAGGTCGCGGTCGTAAGAACGAAATTTTGACAGTATTTTACGTCCATGACCATTGAATAACGATTCACCGTTTTGCTTTGCATGAGGAGTCTCAGAAACTCGCGCGAGAGTCGACTTCTCAGACATTTTAGCGCTACTGACAAGAGCGGAAGGTGAAAATCAACAGGCGCGCGTTCGGAGGATTTTTTTCCCGCTATTGCTGTCACGTCCGTGAGAGGGCGCTGATGTAACTATTCAGCAGGTTGTGAAAAGAGGTGTTATAAAATGAGCTGGTGAAAGTTGATATTTACCTGTTGCGTCATTTTATTGCTTTTTTGACGTCTATCTATGAATGAATAAATATTCTTTCTTTTTAGAGGACAACTTTATCGTCAACTCACGATTCAGTGTGTTTCATAACATCTAAAATTTATGAACGCGATAATTTTTTTTTAATTGCACTTTTTTTCAGAATTTTCGCTTCACGGAACCAAGATGATTTGCTGTTTAACCTGCCATACATTGCATTTAGCGACATTAAACTCGGAAATATCATGATTAACTAAAATGCGTCCTTTTAGGAAAATAAATTGTCGTCTTCTTGTAGGTCTGGTGCGTATTAATTATAGTGCAAGAGAAGGAATTTTACGTTTATATTTCATTTTAACAAAAATCATACACTTAAAGAAATAAAATATTTTTATGATAAAAACACCTACACACTTCTTTTGTAGACAAAATCAAAGCGTGAAATTATTTTTCATTTATCTAAGCAAGCAAGCCATTTCTTTTTCGACTAAACTACGGTAATGAAATTGTAGTTTAAAGATATGTTATCGCTTTTATATTTATTCTACTAAAATTAAGTTTATAGGCTACATATTTGCCGAATATTGTATGCCTTCATATTGAACTTTTCCATAATATGATGCATTATCTTTTATTCCAGCCTTTCTTAAACTTTTCTCAAATGAGGACTATTTTTATAAATTAGAAAGTACCGCGGACTACCTTTAAAACCAGTTTTTTTTAGCATATATTGCTATTAATACACATGCATTTTTAAAATACAATTATAAAGATGCATTTCATAATAAGTAACTGAGTTAAAAGAAAAAAATATTTTTAGCAATTCAAGGCTAAATGGATTACTTCATTTAGCATTTACTTAATTCATGGATAAATTATTTACATTAATAAGTTGAACGAGCTTGCCGTTTTGCACAGCTATTCTAAGTTTGGAAGCACTTCGGTACTTTGTTTTTAATTGACTTAGTGCTGGTACATTACGATGCTTTACTTAAAGTAAAGCATCGTAAAGTACCATCATTAAGAAAGTTATGAAAATCCTTTCACTCACAGATGTGTAGAAGTAAATTGAATTCTAATTTTTTAAAGCACTGTTGTTATGTACTGTTTTCACTAGCAATGAGGTCCAGAAATTAACTATACCTTATGCATGCAAGTTTAGTCCGGTGTCACTACATATATATCACTGTATATAGCCACATTTCATCAGTAAGAAAGGATGTCAAATTTTCGCTGATTTCGTTTACAAATAACGTGACTTCCTATCTAAATTCAAAGAGTGTGAGTATCTGATTTCATGCCAGCGAAATCAGACTGAAGAAGAAACTTTGTCCTCACCACCCATGTCATAACAAAATAATGAAAATATTCTGCTGTTCAGAGGCTTTGCTTTAAGTTGATAAGTTGATAATCTTAACCGTTTGCACTCGAGAGGTGATTTTTACTCACCATGTGATTTGATGCCGCAATTCGAGAGGTGACTCTCGCTCACCACTTGGTTTGATGCGGAAACTCGGGTGCGTGGCAATAACTGTTTATGTTTAGTTTCTTCGAAGCGGGTTCCTACGGTCTTTCTGTATAATCTTGTGAAGTGTAAAATGATACCCCTTTAAATGGAGATAAGATTTTCTTATCTGAAATTTTACCTTTTCTTATCTATCACAAAGTCACCCGGAAAAAGGCATGAAACGACATATTATTGTAATATTTGTTCCAACAAGCCGGGCATGCATCTTGGGAATTCTTACATGAAACATCATACACAGAAAAATTACAGAGACTAATATTTAAGAAATTATGTTTATAAAGATGTAAAGATATAAAATATAAAAAATATGCATTAATTTGTGTGTGTAATGATTTTAAGTTACTGGTAAGAAACACGTCAAAAAGGATGCGAAACGTCTCGAGTTGCTGGTGCACAGCGCGTAAAAGGACCCGAGTGCAAAGAGTTAATGCTGCCATTTGACAAATGTTTGGATTTAGATTACATATCTTTGGGCCGTCAAGTTTAACCTGTGAGCGAAACAATGAGTTCGGCCAACATCAAGTGCCACAGCTTAACTTTAGCTACAATGCCACATGCGCATGGGTAAGTGCATGAGCCACATCCGAATATAAACCGACTACATTTTTCCAATCAGCTTTGAGTTCTTGCATTCTTCTTTGTTTAGACTTCAAAAATTTGTTCTACAGTTGTACGAAGTGGTAGAGTCTACGAAAATAATATATCTCCATGAATGTCACTGTTAAAACTCATACCTGACGTAACAAATAAGTTGTGCTTAGCTCGAAACGTCTGTTTTCTTGTCTGACATGAATAAAAAACACTTTCTGTTATTCTAACAAGTCCAAATTATACGTTATTAGTTTGTCACTGATTCGGAATGTAACTTTATTGTTTGAGATTAAATCAATATCCTTAGATAATTTTTATTAAATGTTGTTTTAATTATATTTTCTCTCTCTCTGAAAGTACGAAAGATTGCAAATTCATCTTTCATATTCTGAAAGTATAAAGATGTCTTAAAGATGGGGTTCCCCGCTTTTTTGAGATATGAAGACTTGTTACATAAAGAAAACTTCTAAGGCCTGTTTAGTTGCGGAACCTATATTTAAAAAAATTGATTTCTTTATTCAGTTTTTCAATACATTGTTGGGAAGATTCGACAGATTTACTTTTTACATCCGTGTGTTTCGTCTCTTAATGTTACTTAAATTTCCGATGATCTTTATCTGCATTCAGCAATACGTATGTGTGTGTCTACGTCAGAAAGAAAAGTAAAATACTTAGAAGTAGTTTACTAATATTATTTTATTTTTGTTTTTTTGTTGTTTCCTTTATTTTGCCTTTTAAAATTGTTTTATAAAGGCTAAAACGGTTAAGGTGAAAAAATACGCATTTAATGTAGTTGTAAGGTAATGATTATAAATGCATTGATTTGAATGCAATATATCCATAATTATGTTAGATAATTTTAGGATTATTAAAATACATAATTATTATTTCTGTTAACATTATTTGCCATACCGTAATATATTCGTCACGTAATTATTACCTATACATATGAAGATGCTGTAATAAACACAAGAACAGTATAACCATAGGAGTCGAAAAGGGCACCCTCGGTTATTCTGATCTGGCTATGCCCATGCTACGCAAGGTTCTAAGTTTGTGGAAGAGATTTTTAAAGCATTTAATTTTTACCTCTGTGAAAACTGTGAAGTCTTATGGGCTGAGAAACAAGCGTTTAGAAGCTATAGGACTCAGTATCATTAAAGTGTGTATTAGATGGACATATTCCCGTAATGATGTCTCTGTTTCTTGTATGTTCCAGTATTTTGCTGTCAAGTACTAACGTATTGTATGTCTTCTTACATCGCAGATGAATCCTAAAGGAAGTTGTGGCTGCCTTTATCTTCCGATTCGAAACAAGCAGTCGGTCTCCGAACACTCAAGAATAAGAGATGATAAAACACATAATTACTCTCCTGGAAAATGAAATGGAGATTATGGAAGAGATCCGGACATTAGGATTTGCTGAAGACGATAAAGGAACAATGGGACGAGGAAATGGATTTCGGAGATGATGGTGTCGATAAGGAACAGCAATGCTCGTCGCAATAGTCGTCTCCCTCTACTTCGAGTTCATCAACATCCGAGTATGTGCCTTCGCTCAAAAGGCGAGAGCATGATGGTCCAGTAGATATGACAGAAGAGGACTGGGCTGCTTACAAGGAGTGCATTTTAGTGTACTGGACCAGAGATCCTACGACAGGCGCGTTTCAAGATGCGGAATAACATTGTTGACAGTGCAATAACCCACACAGTCGGCAAAAACTGGCAGGATAAGGAGGCAAATTTGTCACAGGCGTGTGATGATTTTGTTGAGAAGATTCGCAATCTCATCGTTACAGGAAACTTTCCATCGACACATGTCTTCAATACTGACCACAGCAGATTTTACAAAGAGTTACATGGCGATCGAACCCTGCGAGTCAGGGCAACAACAGTCGTTCGCACTGTTGTTAGATCAGTCTCTGCAACACAGCACAGTTGATTATGCCTGTGATTTCAGTGGAAGGCGAAATACTGCGGCCAACGTATGTAGTTGTATCCGAATCATCTGGGAAATTCCCGCAGTCGAAGCTGACAGTTTCTCCGAATATAAGGTCGTATGCTGGAAAAACAGCGAACATGTCTAAAGCAGACCATACACGGCTCTATCGTGACATATTTTGGGCAAGTATGCCTGATGACAGAAAGAAAATTCTATGTCTAGTGGATTCATGATGTTCTAACAAAGATTATGCATTGTCTGCTTGCGGGAGTACCTGGTGGTAAAGTTCTACAAAAAGAACTGGTACCTGAAGGATGTACGGGAAAGATCCAGCCTCTTGATATTCATTTTTCTAGACACTACAAATATTTTGTTCCTTACATAACAGGCAAATCATTATCGAAACACAGGACCATATTTGGCATAATGATAGTTTTCTGGCCCTGGAGTCCTTTTTCCTATATCATTTCAGCGCTTGAATTAAGAACTTTATTAAGAATGTTTTTTTATATAGGCGGATGCTTGGACGACTAACCTGGAATTACTGCTTCTATTCATTGACAAATGATGAGTGTGCAAAGTGTGAGGCTATCGCTTTTGTGGTGTCAGCCGAAACCATCGCGGCAAAACCGTTGCGGAGAAAACAACGCAAGAGGAAAACATCGTGGGAGAAAATAAAGCAAAGAAAAAACATCGTGGTACAAAATATCGTCGTCAAAAACTTAGCAGTTTAAAAACATCGTCGTCGAAAATATCGTGGTAAAAAATAAAGTACCTACAAACCATCGCATGACGATAACATCGCACACATGCGTTTTTTAGGCTTTAATAAT